CGCAGTAGATTTTTGCTTCGTGGAAGCGCTCTTTTTGACGAATGTATAGTCACCAAACCGGAGTGTTGGTTCGAGGGACGAATGTCACCGCACGGACACACAATCTCAGTTTCAGATATTTGGCTCGTGGCTCACTACTATGGTCTTCTGTCCACGTCGCTGGGTTAGGTTTAGAGCACATGTGCTTCTGAAGTAAGAACGACGAGTGGAGACGTGATAGTTTGCGATGTGATTCTGAAATGTGTGGGATATTGGAAAAATGAGCGGGTCAGGTCAATCCTTGGAACTAACTTTATATTTTCGAACAATGTTGTGCGCCTGAACCTCGTGTATCAAGCGGAATAGATTCTTGACGATGCTGGAGGCTATCAAAGTCCAAGCGGCTCGAGTTATCTAGAAGGAGTCGCATTTAGTGCGCTCTTGTTGATGAGCGCACTCAATACCGAAAACCGACTCTCCGGGATGGGGGTGATGATGGATGCAGTTGACGCCACTGCTTCAAAGGTTATGCAGGCCCAGCAGGTAGTCCTGGAAACAAATACTACGTTTGCTGCCGCCGCCTACTCACGCGTAATGGATCGCAGTCTTAATTATCACCGGTGATTTCTGCCCTGGCAGTTTGTCGCCGAGAATAAGCGGGAATGGTCTGCGCTTGTGGATCTGTGTGAGGCACGTTTCCCTTTGAGTCGGCGCTCGCGGCTCGATTACCCATAGTTTGACTCGCTCACTAGAAGTCTTGCATTAGAGTGGCTTGATAGCAATCTTGCGATCGGCAACATTACAAGTTTTGGCCGTGATCCTATCGCCTAGCAACTAAATACCTGGATTTTGAGCGTAGTTGGCGAGGTTTCTGTTTGACCCGCATCCTCGCTCAACTCGCTTGGTGGACTGGACATTAGTGCCGTTCTCTCTTGATCAATCCTGTAAATCCTCGGGACTGACCTCGATAGCAGCGAGTCACTATCAGATGCCGGTCTGGACTCCCTGGCGGGCACGTAGTTTGTGTAAGCTCTGTCTGTCTGACTTCATACTGATCTCTCCGCCTCGATGATATTTGATCATCCCACACTTGCTTCCCTAGGCAATCACTTGTTGTCATCCACCGACTCTAGTCGTAACAAACCTGGTAAGGTTCTTGAAGTTCTCGGGGCATCTGTTCTCGAGGTCCTTGGTACTGACGTATCCGCAGACCAATCTCTTTTGGATGCTGGACTGGATTCCTTGTCCGGCACCCAATACGTTCAATCGGTCTCAGAACAATGTTCTCTCGAGCTTCCTTCGACACTACTTTTCGACTATCCC